AGGAGAATAGGAGTATCATAGTTGTAGGGAAAGATGGCTAGCATCATGATCAAGGTTCCCCAAGTCACGTGGCATCCCAAGACGACCCCTTCTAGGGGTTACCTGGAAGTCTGAAAGAAGTCAGAGTTGTGAAGACTTTGCTCAGCTAGTGAAATATTTAAGGGACAGCTTTCACTGCGCTGAGGTTGCTGCTGTTATGATCAGGACACTTACCTCACCTTACTCACTAGATCTAGCTTGTTTAGGGAAATATTATGTCTTATTCTCCTTGGCTTTTCTAGCAGGTTGAACTTAGTGTTCATAGAGCTTATTAGTGGTGGTTAGAATGATTTTTTTAGATTAAGAACCGATAGGTATATGTATCAATTCCTCACAATAAATGTATTAGGTATCACAAACATGTACTAATAAAACATTTTAAAAATAAATATGTGAATGATTTGTCAGATGGAAGTAATCAACCTTGATACTACCATACTGCCTTATAGCCAACATGTTTTCAGTATGGGAATAATATATTTTTGCAAAAAATATTCATGTATCCTTTTTTCCCCCCAATAACAAACCTTTGCTTAGTAATGGCAAAGAGGTTTTATTCTCTTTATAGGTGGAGTTAAAGCTTCTATCATGGAAGACCTTGCCCTACCCATTCTAGGTCTCCTTCCCGCCTTTGGAAACTGAGCATACAGACTGATGCCCAAGAAGTTATTTCGTAGTTAATAAGAGATTCATCTGATTCTCATTAGGTGGACTGGAGGAGTGAATGATAAAGAGATGATCTGGGAAAATATCATTCCTGTAAGTCTGGAGATGAAGAAGCAATAAGAGGAGAGGAAGCAGTGGATGTGTCACCCTTACAGGATCAAGAGCTGTGTCTGCCTGTGCTGTCCACTGGGTTCCCTCTATGGGTACAGCCTGGGACCAGCTGAGCCTGAGTTGGTACCCAGACTGGTTGACTCAGACTGGTTGACTCTTCTCCTTTTATCCACAGTTGGTGGGGTTGGGAATCTTGTAAGGATCTATTTAGAACCAATACGTTGTGAGAGAAAAGGGCCTTTGAGAAAGATATTTAGGCATGATCCCTGGGGACAGAGACAGAAAGAGATGGAGAAGACAGAAAGGAGTCTATTATCTATACTGGCCCTGGAGGAGGAGAAAGAGAAAGAGAAAGAGAAAGAGAAAGAGAAAGAGAAAGAGAAAGAGAAAGAGAAAGAGAAAGAGAGAGAGAGAGAGAGAGAGAAAGAAGAAGAAGAAGAAGAAGGGAGGGAGGGAGGGACAAATGGAAGGAAAGGTAAGGGAAGAGAAAGGAAGAGAAGGGAAGAGAAGAAAGAGATCCCAAGTGTGGGATAAAAGTAGAGTTGCTACTGAGGTTTGGTGTGACTCAGGAAGAAGGGCCATCCCTTTTTGTAATCATAAAATACATTTGGCATCTGAAGGGATTGATAAAGGTCTGAGATGAACTGAAACAAGTAACAGCAATGTCCTATAGTAATGTGGACCTTGTCTTCATGCCACTGTAATGTGTGTGTTAATAGTGCCACATGTATGCCTATGGTCTAAGGATATTTGAGGAACATGTACTCTATCCCATTTGAGTCTCATCATAACCCTGTGAAGTTGGTATATTATCTTACTTTTACCAGTGAGGAGGGTGAAGCAGGGAGGCTAAGTGACTCCATTAATGAATGCTTACACCCAGAATTGACCTCAGCAGGTACCCTCTTAGCCACATCTCCCACACTGCCTCCTGAACAGCACAGCAAATATTTCAGATGATGCCTTCACCTAGGTGTGGGGAGGCTGAGTTACCCTCTTACAGCAGAGGTCATGGATAACAACCATATCTTCACAGGGCATCTGATCTTTTGGGGAGAAATTTTGGGCTATATGGTGTCCTTTCCAAGGTGGACATTTCTAGCTTTCTTTGGGAGAATATAACAAAGGACAGGATAGGAAATATCTCTGAGGGCACCCGGCGTTTGAATAGGGAGTTGTCATTGAATTACAGCAATGGTGTTTCCTCTTGGAGATGTAGAAGACTTTGTAACTGAAAAAGCATTTCCTCTTTTATTATCTGAAAGTTCATAAAAACTCTGTGGAACAAAACTCATATGTCCATTTTGTAGATGGAAAATGAGTTTTAGAGAGCCTCAGTGACTTGCCCACGTGGTTAGTGTATGAGTCAACCTAGAAATCTCGTCTCCTGGCCCCCTGGCAGCCTCCTGGCCCCCTGGCAGTCTCCTGGCCCCCTGGCAGTCTCCTGGCTGTCCGGATTACTAGGCACTGCCTTGTACCACGGTGGGACACTTGTCTTCATCTAGTGGAGGCTGACATTGTGACTGAGCCAAGCAGTGGACCAGGCATGAGTGTGTGGCCTGAAGCAAGAGGCAGACATTTCAATGAAAGGCATGATCCAGGTGCTGGTCATGGGGCAGCACTCACCTACTTCAGATCCAGTCATAAGAGGTGCCCCTTGTCATGAAAGGAGATTTTATGTGAGAATTTCCCAAGACTGATCTATAGAAAACCGGTCTCACCTGAGAGTCAGAGTTCTTTGGTCAAGCAAGACATTCTGTACTTTTTTCTTTTAGTGTACTGATGCACAGTAAGGGTGTTATCATGTCTTTAAGGAAAGATATTTGTTTGATTATGTTTAATTTAGGTTTCCAAACCTAGTTGAACCCAAAAACTTTTTCCCTTTCTTTTTTAAGGCAACCTAATTGGCAGCCATGGAATGTCAAGAACAAGTAGTTTGCTTTGATCATTGAATTAATGGGTGGAATTAACATCCCTTAGAAATTTTTTTATTGTATATATACCCAATATGTATGAATGTATGTATGTATCTAGATCTATGTATTTTAGATATAGGAGGCATTGTATTTGTAAATAGGCCTTGATGCTACTCATTTTGCAATTCAAATATCCAGAGTTACTAGTCCCATTCAAGCATGTTCAAGTTCATAAAAACGGAAGCCTATTATGGCAATAAACTTTTTGAAAGTTAGGTATTTTTGGCAGTAATTCATGATAGAATTATGTCAAGGAAAGCTAGGCTTCCGTCTGCTATTGCATGATGGCGTAGAGGGTTTGACAGAATCTGTTCTCTGAAGGTCTTTGAAATGAGTAAGCCTGGCATTTTATGTACGTTGTTTGTCATCTTCCTGCCTATGGATGGCAGCAGACATTTGCCATTCATGAGGGATATTTCCTGAGACCTTTATGACTTCCCTAATTGGAAAATACCACTAGAGCAAACAATGTCCTTCATGAAACCTTTTTATTCTGACCCAAAGAGTCATTTTCATGGAGGGCTTTGCTTTCTCATCTCATTCATTATCAGGGCCATTTTGTACTTGGTAACTGACAGTAAGAGGGACCATGTAGCTGTGAGGCAGTGGCCACAGTTCTGGACCTACTGAGTAGCTTTACCCTCAGTGACAGTTTTGCTAGGAGATTTGAATTTTTGTTTTGGAGAAATGGTTAATGCCTACATAATATGGATTGTAAGAATTGCACATGAATGATTTAAATTGTACATTTGCAGATGCCAAGCACCTCTTATTCTCTTGATTTTTAAAGACATCTGAAATGCACCTTTCCCCTGTGCTGAGAGGCAAGGAAATACTCTGCCTTTGAGGAGAAAAAATGTGTATAATTCCACAAACTCAAGCTCATTTTTACCAAAGCAAAACAGCCTTCAGAGCAGGACTAGTTTGAACCTGACCTCAAGAGTGTGGATGCGTCATCAATTGTAAGAAGTGATTATTGTGCTTTGGGAAAACAAACAAACAAATAAACAAGCCTCTGTGAGAGCTAGGCTTAAGCTAAAATTTGAGTTTTCCTGAGTTAAGGAAATACTAGCACACTTAAAACTGCAGTATAGTTTCCCCCAACACGCTAACAACTCTGCACCTCCCAGTGTGTATCTCAAGGCCACCTCATCCAAGTTTTATCAGTTGTACCTTTGGGACTTAGAGTCTTAGAAAAAAAAAATCCAATTTTTTTTAAAAGAATGTGTGATTATTATTGAAATAAAAGGGCAGGAAGATTTTATCAAACTTGGAAGGTCTCCCTAGATGAATTCCACAGATAGATGTCACTAGTGGAAGGCAGGCTGACCTTACACAAATTAAAATAATCAAAGCAAAAGAGAAATGCCCAGAGGTCAATCTGGGGGCATTAAAATACCATTCAGTTTTGACCATGGGAAATAGCTTTGCGGAAATAAAAACTTTTAAAAAGTGGCTTGTTGCCTTGCTTGTGTGCAAAGTACATTGACATTTAAATGCAGAGATGTTTGGGGCTCTCCAGTTTCACAGGTGAATCATGTCATCTAACAGAGCAGATTCTAAGGAACATAGAGTATGTCCAGAGTGAAAATATAATTGACTTTTACCATGGAGGGTGTGAGGGCTCTTGAATGACAGTGGCCATTTAAGACACCTTGATGTCTGTTGAGATGGGATGAGCTTACTCAGGGGAAAGACTGCTTGAGCTCCTTGTTAAGGGCTTTCCTGTGCCTTTGGAGTTGAGTTTTTCTGAGTCTCCATGGACCAAGGATCCTACAAGCCCTTTACACAACCATTTGCTATACAACTAGTCCCCAGTCACACAGAGAAAGTTCAGTTAATGCTACTGAAAGGCCTGAGTTACATGTTTCTCTTAGAATTGGCTTGCTAGCTGATGGAAGCCCACGCCATAAATTGTCCTTCCAGTAATTTGGAGGCTGAGAATATTCTTTTTTCTTCCCTAGGATCATGACCTATTCATGGACCAAATCATGATTCCTGTCTCTTTCTGGGGGTGTAGGGGTTGAGATGGGAAGGGGTGGTGAGATCTGAGCAGCCCTGCAAGACTGGCAGCTAGTTCCCTGTCTAGACAGAATTTGGGTGTCACCACAGTCACCTTGTAGGGATATGAAATATTTATGGGCACAAAGTTAGGCCAGAGGCCTTGTGAGGCAAGGTAGGAAGACCAGGAAAAATGGGAAGGCTTACCTTCTTGACTTCATATTTAATGGCGAGTTTGATCCGGCTTAGACTCGGACGGTGGTGGTCGGACCAGACTTGGAAGTTCACATCACCATTTAAAATCGCTTCTACTTCTTCTGTGTCTCGGCATAGGTCCAGCACGCCCACCACAAAATCCTTGCATTGCATAGATAACTTCCTGTAATCATTCTAACAGAATAAAGAGAAATCAGGAGTATATCGCACCAAGCCCCACAGATTGGCTTGCCTAGCACAGCAGTGTGGATCAGCAGCTGTCCACCCAGTGTGAGCTTATGGAGCCTTGGAACCAAGGGGATGTGCTGGATCCAGCAGGTAGGGCTGTTTCTCTTGGCACACCACCTAGAATACATCATCTCTAACCTAGCATTTGTCAAGATGTGGTCCATGGGCCATGTGCATCGGTCATCTTAGGTGCATGCTAGATTTGCAGATGCCTAGGCATTAGAATTCCTGGGATAGAGGGGGCCAAGGAATTTGCTTTGTAAGTCTGCTTTCGAAGTGATTTTAGTGACTGCCCACAGGCCATCTTGGGTTCTTTTGAAGTAGTTCTCTGTGCTCAATTCTGAGCCAGTTGTAAGAGAGGAATAATAAGGACACAGATTTTAAGATGGTAGACATAGGGGCTGGGGATTTAGCTCAGCGGCAAAAGCGCCTGCCTGGCAAGCGCAAGGTCGTGAGTTCGGTTCCCGGTACCGGAGAAAAACCAAAAAAAAAAAAAAAAAATGGTAGACATAATACTTCCTTCATGTAGCACCAGCCTGTAATGGTGATGGTTTTCCTGGAGAGCAAAAATTTACTAGAAAGAAATGGCTGAAGGCTAACATCGAAAAAGAATTTACACTGGTGTGCTTTTTAAAAATTGTGTTGGAAAATTGGCTTGTAAAATGTAAATATAAATATAAAGTGTAATTTATATTTAACAGTATCCATTCTTACTACAAATCCATGGGTGGCAACCTGTAGCTCTGTGGTAATTTATTACCTCTCTGCTGAATAAACATCTTTCAGTCTTGAATTTTTCATTGTTTAATTTTTAAAATGAGTTACTCTTGGCTTTTACTCTTCCTTTCCCTAAGTATATCTTTTTGAATATCTCTGAGAAGCTCACTTTCTTTCCTATTGACATCCCAACTTCTCTCTCCTCCAAGACAGATTGCTTAAGTTTCAAACAGTGACCCGATGTATTGAACAAAAGAAAGTTTCAAGACATCTTTATACTACTACTCCCCTCAAATATTTCCCCCTAAAGTCTTCCTTGTTGGTTTTTTAGTTGAAACAAGTCTATTCTGAAACTACATAAGAGTGAAGTGTCACGTTCAGTGTTAATCAGTGTCAGCAACCCCCATACTCATAAATAGTAGTTGGAGAACAGGAGTGTGGTTTTGTTTTTCCAAAACCTGTATTCCTCAGCAAGTAGGTGAGATCCTGGCAAAGGACACAAGCTCAGCTGCATTTCTGAATTAATGGTTCTTGTCTCCTTCCAGGACTGCTCTATCAAAACATCACTTTCTGTTAGAGCAAGATGTAAGTAAATGCGTGTTTACTGGGGAAAAGAAAAGGATCAAGAAAGTACTTTCTGACAAGATTGGCTGCTCTTCATTTTTTGTATGTGATTTATGTAAAAGAAAGGAGTTTTAGAAAGTTTAAGTAGAAAAATCACTACTCAGCTGAGACAGGTTGTCACAGAGAAAAATGCAGGTAGGAACTTGTAGTGTTCTTGGTTTTAGCACCTAGCACAGGGCTGGAGAGTGACACGAGGAACTGTGTTCTGTGCTTCCTCATCCTGAACACTCACCTGTCCACCATTCATTTATTCATTAGAGAGCAACTGCTGTGTGTCAGACAATTAAGTTAGCAGTGAACAAGGCAAATATGGTCTCTGAGTAGTATTAGACTGAGGAAGGCCAGGGATCCACTCTTAGAATAAGAAAAACACTAGTAAAACTTGCTCAGAGCTGGTCCTGGCTAAAACATTCCATACAGCCCTTATGAACTAGAGGTGGGAAGTTCATCATGCCCTGCGCTCAGCAAAATGGACAAGGTGGGTCAGCTCACACATTAACCCACTCAACTCTGGCAGCACCTTTACTGCAATTTATATTCTCTGGATCTCCAACCTCCACAAAATCAACTTTATTGCCCCTTTCCTAGAATGAGGAACCGTTTTTGCTTGTTCCTAGTAAAACTGATCCTGTTGGCTAGAGCAGACCTCAACTTTTGGTAGAAACTCTTGTCTTCAGAGCTAAACACATGGATAGATGCAGGCAGTGGAAAGGGAATGACTTAGTTCTTGGACCTCCATGCTGGGAACAAATCAGGTTGTACTGACCAGAGCCTGCACATGTCTGGCTTCAACGGTTTGGAATAGAAAGTGCTACTTCATTTAGAGACTGTCTCTTCCCTGGGCTCTCTTAACCAGCCTGCCATCAAAAAGGAAGCACCAGCACATTGAAAGGAGGTAATTTGCTTTTTACCTTTGCATTAGACACATAGGCTTGAAGGCAATAAGCCTTCTGGTGTCTGTAGATGGCTGAAGGGGACAGACAGAACCCAGGCAGGCCAGGGAGAAACAAATACAGACATGGATGGTGATAGAGAGGGCTACAGGTGAACACTTCTGGAGAGTTAGTGTGATTGTGCTTTATTGGGTCAACCTTGACCTCAGTGAGCCCTCCAAGACATTCCTGAATCCAGTTAGAGGTAGATAAGATGTAAAAAACTAAAAATTTTGACCTGGCTGTTTCCCTCTTAGTCATCTTCCTAAAGAGTTAAAGGCATCATATTACAGTGATATGTGCATTACTATGTTTATAGCAGCACCACTCATAATAGCCAAAGCTTGGAAGTGGCTGATTTGTTCATCAGCAGATGCATGGATAAAGAAAATAGGGTATTTATGTACAATGGAATATTAGTCTGCCATTAGAAAGGATAAACTTGAGTCATTTGTAGGAAAATGGATGCATCTCTGAAACAGGTTTCTTAGAGAGAGAGGCAGGACACCCAGGCCTTTTCCAGGAAATAGCATTTCTTTGTGCTGGCAAGGGGCTCAGTGAGTTAATACCCCAAAGGCTGAGCCCCGATTATGGTGGAGTTTTAACTTTCATACAGTTTCTGTGTCTTTGTCTCTTACACACTAGCATACTACAGCCTGATAGGATACAATCTATATCACAGAGCCATACTGGAGCCACACATATGCATCTAGGGGCTGACTGTGCTATTATTGCCTTTCTTGATTCTGAGAAGGCTCCATGCTCTATTGAATTCCTTTCGGAGGGCCCCGGCCACACTCCTCCAGGGAAAAGTCCTGCCATACCTCGAGACCATAATAAATCGGACACATAAGCTTAACTATCTCATGGTTTTTCTTATATGAGAAATCCAAAGCATATAAAAAAATTAAAGAGCAAAATAAAAGGTAGATAACAGGGGAAACGGGGAGATAGAACTTTTGCAAAAGTGCAGGGGACCAAGAGATGGGGGAAAGGGATAATAAAAGGACTCAACCTCCTATTTGTTCAGTCCACTATCTGGGACAACCATGTCTAGTAATCCTTTGATTCTACCTGACTTACAAGCCACTGACCACGCACTGGTTGTCACCCTCCCTGTTTTCCAGGTCACTGTCTCTGTCTGTGCAGTGCAGATATTTTTCAAGGTCAATCACGATAACCCTTGCACAGCTCTCCTGTTTCCTCTAATTTTATTGTTCTTGCTGGATAAAAGCTTAGAGTTATTTGAGGCTAACTCTCTGCCACTCTGGTCCTGCTTCTGCATAGTAAATATGGTGGAGAAGACACAACAGCAGAGATCAGTAGTGCTGTTAATTGTGTCCAACTTCAAATGGTCCTTATGCTCCTAAGCAATTTTCCCTTCTAGTTTCCTAAACAAGCATCTCACCATTTCATATCTTCTTCTCTCCTCAATATTCTTTTTTTTAAAATTTTTTTGAGACAAGATCTCGCTATGTGGTTCAGGCTGGCTTTGAACTATGCAGTACAGGTCATCCTTGAACTCAGGGAGATCCTCTTGCCTCAGCCTCCTGAGTACTGTGCTTACAGGAGTGAGCCACCACGCCTGGCTCTATCCTCAGTATTCTAAAACCTCATCTTTTCCTCTCACACAAAGACATTGTTTCTTTCTTTATTAAGAAAATATTAAATATCAAAAGCTCAGCATCTACCATCACATGTACCTATGCACATGCATCTATGCTCACACACTGTTTTCTCCTATTAGCTCGCTGAACTGCCTCTGCTCCTCTCTAAGGCCAACTGCTCCACTGTGTGCTGCGCTCAACCTTTTATGCCTCTGGAAGGACACGGCCCCTGCAATCTTCCTTTCTCTCTCCTGCACTGTCAATTTCTCCTTTCCCTACTAGCCTAGCATAAAAACATGCTATTATTTTTTGTCTTAAAAATATGTTTTTCTTGACCTCTCTTTCCTCTCCAATTACAACTCCAATTTCTGTTCTCTGTTATCCCAAAAATCTTCTATGGAGTTGTCTCCACTCTGTCTCTCACTCTCCCCCTTGCATTCTTTATTGTTCCATTTCAGCAGGCTTTCACACACACTCACTCCACTGCAACTGTGCTTGTCACAGTCACAAATGACCTGCACACTGCTAGACGCATTGGTTGGTTCGCATTTCCCATCTTACATGACCTAGGATGTACTTTGACACAGTCGATCATCTCCTCCTCCTTGATACATGTTCTTCATTTGGTTTCCAGCATTGTATCCTCCTTCTGCATTTTTTCTTCGCAAGTGACTACTTTTTGCATCCTTTGCTGACTCATTTTCATTTCCCCTATCTTAATTTGGAATGTCTCTAAGGTGTGTCCAGCCCGTTTTACTTACTTCAACCCATTCATTGCCTTAGTGAACTTATCTCCTGTCAGGCCTTTCAATGCTGGTCATATGCTGATGAATCTAAAACTTATATCTTTAGCTTCCTTCCTTGAATTCAAGACTTTTCATGTCCAGTGGTCAACTTGACATCATTTCAAACTTTAGAAAACTAACTCTGGATTTAGTCGTCTGCACAGGTTCAGTTATTCTAGCAAAGAAAAAAAAAAAAATTCTTGGATCCATCCTTGATCACTCTTTTCCTTTCGTAACCTATATAATTTGGTGGCAAATCCTGCCAGCTCTACCTGCCAGAT